ATTTAAACAACAGCTGACAAGGCGTAAGTATAACACATATGTTAGAACATCAGGAAAAATCATCAAAAGAGGTATGCAGCAAAGAGTACGTGGGAAAATACGAATACATTTATATTGTAGGTAAACGTAAGAAATTTAATTTTCTACATACATATCTATGTATGCATGTTTTGCGAGGTTCGGGGTTTGCTCATTTTGGTATTTCACTGTTAAAACTTAACATTTAGATATACCCCAAATATTAAACTATCCTCGAGGGTACTTGTAACTGATAAAATATATACAATAAATATGTTGTAGAAACATCACGCTCCCTATAGTTCATGTTTCGTCTGACGTGTTTCACCGTTTGGGCACCATGATCAAACACCCGGTAGCGCCGCTGTTGTACAGTGATGCGTGAATACATGTTTCTGATATTGTCCACATCGCACAACAGACTGCTATTAGGGTATTGCATAGTGATGCGTGAATACATGATTCTGGAACTGTCCACATCGTATAATAGACTGACTGACTGACTGATTTTGGTTTTACCCCGCTTTTAGCAATATTCCAGCAACATCACGGCGGGGGACAACAGAAATGGGCTTCATACTCGTACAATAGAGTACATTTAGGGTATTGCATAGTGATGCGTGAATACATGCTTCTGATATTGTCCACATCGTACAATAAAGTGCTGTTAGACTATTGCATAGTGATGCGTGAATACATGCTTCTGATATTGTCCACATCGTACAATAGAGTGCTTTTAGACTATTGCATAGTGATGCGTGAATACATGCTTCTGATATTGTCCACATCGTACAATAGAGTGCTTTTAGACTATTGCATAGTGATGCGTGAATACATGCTTCTGATATTGTCCACATCATTACAATAGAGTGCTTTTAGACTATTGCATAGTGATGCGTGAATACTTGCTTCTGATATTGTCCACATCGTACAATAGAGTGCTTTTAGACTATTGCATAGTGATGCGTGAATACATGCTTCTGATATTGTCCACATCGTACAATAGAGTGCTTTTAGACTATTGCATAGTGATGCGTGAATACTTTGCTTCTGATATTGTCCACATCGTACAATAGAGTGCTTTTAGACTATTGCATAGTGATGCGTGAATACTTGCTTCTGATATTGTCCACATCGTACAATAGAGTGCTTGTTAGACTATTGCATAGTGATGCGTGAATACTTGCTTCTGATATTGTCCACATCGTACAATAGAGTGCTGTTAGACTATTGCATAGTGATGCTTGAATACATGCTTCTGGTATTGTCCACATCGTACAATAGAGTGCTTTTAGACTATTGCATAGTGATGCTTGAATACATGCTTCTGATATTGTCCACATCGTACAATAGAGTGCTGTTAGACTATTGCATAGTGATGCGTGAATACTTGCTTCTGATATTGTCCACATCGTACAATAGAGTGCTGTTAGACTATTGCATAGTGATGCTTGAATACATGCTTCTGATATTGTCCACATCGTACAATAGAGTGCTGTTAGACTATTGCATAGTGATGCGTGAATACATGCTTCTGATATTGTCCACATCGTACAATAGAGTGCTGTTAGACTATTGCATAGTGATGCGTGAATACATGCTTCTGATATTGTCCACATCGTACAATGGGAGTGCTGTTAGACTATTGCATAGTGATGCGTGAATACTTGCTTCTGATATTGTCCACATCGTACAATAGAGTGCTGTTAGACTATTGCATAGTGATGCGTGAATACTTGCTTCTGATATTGTCCACATCGTACAATAGAGTGCTTTTAGACTATTGCATAGTGATGCGTGAATACATGCTTCTGATATTGTCCACATCGTACAATAGAGTGCTGTTAGACTATTGCATAGTGATGCGTGAATACTTGCTTCTGATATTGTCCACATCGTACAATAAAGTGCTTTTAGACTATTGCATAGTGATGCGTGAATACTTGCTTCTGATATTGTCCACATCGTACAATAGAGTGCTTTTAGACTATTGCATAGTGATGCGTGAATACATGCTTCTGATATTGTCCACATCGTACAATAGAGTGCTGTTAGACTATTGCATAGTGATGCGTGAATACTTGCTTCTGATATTGTCCACATCGTACAATAGAGTGCTTTTTAGACTATTGCATAGTGATGCGTGAATACTTGCTTCTGATATTGTCCACATCGTACAATAGAGTGCTTTTAGACTATTGCATAGTGATGCGTGAATACATGCTTCTGATATTGTCCACATCGTACAATAGAGTGCTTTTAGACTATTGCATAGTGATGCGTGAATACTTGCTTCTGATATTGTCCACATCGTACAATAGAGTGCTTTTAGACTATTGCATAGTGATGCGTGAATACTTGCTTCTGATATTGTCCACATCGTACAATAGAGTGCTGTTAGACTATTGCATAGTGATGCGTGAATACTTGCTTCTGATATTGTCCACATCGTACAATAGAGTGCTGTTAGACTATTGCATAGTGATGCTTGAATACATGCTTCTGGTATTGTCCACATCGTACAATAGAGTGCTTTTAGACTATTGCATAGTGATGCTTGAATACATGCTTCTGATATTGTCCACATCGTACAATAGAGTGCTGTTAGACTATTGCATAGTGATGCGTGAATATTTGCTTCTGATATTGTCCACATCATCGTACAATAGAGTGCTGTTAGACTATTGCATAGTGATGCTTGAATACATGCTTCTGATATTGTCCACATCGTACAATAGAGTGCTGTTAGACTATTGCATAGTGATGCGTGAATACATGCTTCTGATATTGTCCACATCGTACAATAGAGTGCTGTTAGACTATTGCATAGTGATGCGTGAATACATGCTTCTGATATTGTCCACATCGTACAATAGAGTGCTGTTAGACTATTGCATAGTGATGCGTGAATACTTGCTTCTGATATTGTCCACATCGTATGCAATAGAGTGCTGTTAGACTATTGCATAGTGATGCGTGAATACTTGCTTCTGATATTGTCCACATCGTACAATAGAGTGCTTTTAGACTATTGCATAGTGATGCGTGAATACATGCTTCTGATATTGTCCACATCGTACAATAGAGTGCTGTTAGACTATTGCATAGTGATGCGTGAATACTTGCTTCTGATATTGTCCACATCGTACAATAGAGTGCTGTTAGACTATTGCATAGTGATGCTTGAATACATGCTTCTGATATTGTCCACATCGTACAATAGAGTGCTGTTAGACTATTGCATAGTGATGCGTGAATACTTGCTTCTGATATTGTCCACATCGTACAATAGAGTGCTTTTAGACTATTGCATAGTGATGCGTGAATACATGCTTCTGATATTGTCCACATCGTACAATAGAGTGCTGTTAGACTATTGCATAGTGATGCGTGAATACATGCTTCTGATATTGTCCACATCGTACAATAGAGAGCTGTTAGAAATGGGTTGTTGGGATTGTGGAAATGGTTTTCATACTTTTAAGTGAAAGTGGGATCATATACTTTTAAACGAATAGAGCCGAAAGTACTATGTACCATAAATATAGTATGGCAATAAGTGAACACCACTTTGACTTGAATGCAATGCTGTTATGCTGACACCTATATAAAAACCACGTCGACCTAAACTCTCACTATGACATATCCCAGAAACAAATGCAACGCCGAAATGTAAATACCTATATAAACAATGATTGAACCATCCATCTGACTGAAATATACTCTGGTATCTCTGTTCTGTAGACATCTTTCATCATACATGTAACACCGCATCGACTGAAACTTTCTAAATCACCTAAATATATTCTAGTTGTAGCTGTAGCTCTAACACTTGTGTGTGCGTTACCCCTGTTGTAGATCAGAGCTGATACGCGATGATATGTGCTTCTCTAACCTGCCTTTGGTCGTCTGAGATTTAAGAATGTGACAGGCCTACTTCGTGTAAATGATAATAATTTGCCATCTGGGATGAGTGTGCATACAAACTGAGTACTATCTTCATAAAACAACAGCCTTTAACAGTCGTTGACATGCTTTCATAAACACGCTGACATCTTATAACATATATGCCAGATGATCAGGTTACTGTTCACTGTGTGTACATATGTACGCTCGCATTACACCAGATTCGTATTGTACAGTTGATTATAACTGTTTCATACTATCACACGTTGTGCTAATGTTCGTGTTTCCATGCTTTCTGTGCGTATATTTGGAACATGGCTCGATTCATGCAAAGAGACAGCTGACGGCTGGACCGAGAATTGTTGTACAGTAATATATCCATACTTCCAAAGACACGATGCCAGGCAAGTATTATGCCAGATATGCCAGGTTATAATTCTGTCGAGGTCGAGGGCGATGAGGTTAACATTATAGCAAGACCAACCTTTTTGAACATACTTATGCTGATTCTAAACGTGATCTCATATCAAATTAATGGGAGTGTGAGGGACATTGGCTGACAAAATGTTGTATTCGGTTTGTGTCCCGTGCAATATGTGTACACTGATGTTAAACTGACATAAAGTTAAATACGGCAGTTGGTTGATTATTCACTGCTCAGTAACATGTAAGCTTTACCAAGGATCCTTGTGAATAATCGAACATGGACAAACCAAGGACAAAGTCACCACTGTCGATCCAAGTCACTCAATTCACGCGTGTGTTATGTGTTAGATGGTGGGCGGTACCTGATGTATGCTTCTGTTCGTGAATATATGACGTCGTGACAGAAGCATATCCATGTGTATATCAGCTACATGCCTTAGTGTCCTTGTCCTGATAGTGACGTAGTCACTACATGATAAGGTGTCATGAACATTGGTATGCTAAAACAGTGGCACACTATACATAAGCCTTAGACAGAACAGGATTTTCCTGCTTTCCAGTTTCCTCTATGTCTATGAAATACACGATGCCATTCCTCTATGTCCTCCTATTTTGATTATTATATTTACGATTAAAGAACAATATAAAAATATAACAAAAACTTAATTTATTCGCATTGTCAAAATGAAACACATCATAAACTATAACCTCCATGAAAACCACGTGACCTTGTATAAAACTGACCAACTGCAAGCACCGCATCTGGGCAGTGCTATTTTCATGGATGTGTACATATATATGTAGCTTACCATTGAATAATGGTCCTCGTTTAACGCACACAAAGGGTTCTCTTAATGAATGCCCCTTGGTATAGATAAGGTGATAGGCTTGATGTCAACGCCAGGGAAAACCGAGTCTCGACTGCCTACCGGAACAGACTCCTTTGGGTGATCATGGGGTCAACGTGATGTAACTGGCAATCAGTGATGACAATTATCTGTTCGCGAGACTACATGATGTTAAACAATCGTTCGAAATAATAGTGTGTTTGCTCCATTGTCTTTACCACTATCTCACATTATTCCAGTTTTGTCTGAGAGACAAAACATGTTATACGTTCACACGCGTGCACATTCACTGTCAGTTCGTTCGTTGGACAAGTCCAAGATGCTCATATCACCGTTGTCATGGAGGCATTGCGATCTCAGGTATATCCTCAGTTTGTGAAGAAAGAAAACAACTAAATACAAACAGGGTAGAGCCACAAATGTACTCAGAAACACAAGAGGTAGAGTCCGCTTCAGTTTGGACCAATCAAGAATCTTGTAGACATACGGTTCTCCCTTTTCATTGGTCCCACCAAGTATGTGATACACGACACTGAAAACTGTGTAGATGACGCCATAGATAATGGGGTAGATCACGTGATACACACGAACTGGCATGGCAGTGATGAAGAGATTGCACAAGACGTAGATGGAGTTCATACCGTGGAGGATGAATCTCAACACAGTAAGATTTTGATCTGAAAACGTAAATGTCCAGTTTGTCCAATAAAGGTATGAGACTTTGGAATGCAATGGGCATAGGATTCACGCAAAAAGACTACATTATGTTTCAACCATTAAATAGCATGTTAACGACTCTTCAAGTAATGCAACAACATTAAGGATAGCCCAATAAACAACACAAAAACAAAACAACAGCAAAACAAAACAAAACTAAAATATGAAATTGTAAAGGTTGAGGTGCTAAATGACAGCATTGGATAACGTTTGTGTATATATGTTGCGGGGCACTTGAAGAACGTACCTGTGAAAACAAAAATCCAATAGATGGCGCTGATGTGTAAACTCCCTTCAGTGACGACACTGTTGAGGAGCCAGGATACCTGCAGGTACCAGGGTAGATAGGATGTAAAACCTGAAAAAAGTAATTCAACATTAAGCCTTCTGTAACAATGATCAGAATCATTTACTGTTGAATGTTCCTTCAGTTGCAAGTTGGGTTGCGTTCCTTAGACACGCCAGAAATCCGTGATTGTGGGTTCGAAATCAAGCTCACCTAATTTTATATCAAGGTGAGTGAGTGAGTTGAGTTTTACGCCACACTCAACAATATTCCAGCTATATGGCGGCGGTCTGTAAATAATCGAGTCTGGACCAGACAATCCAGTGATCAACAGCATGAACATCGATCTGCGCAATTGGGAACCGATGACATGTGTCTACCAAGTCAGCGAGTCTGACCACCCGATCCCGTTAGTCGCCTCTTACGACAAGCATGGGTTACTGAAGATCAATATTCTAACCCGGACCTTCAAGGGTTTTATGTAAAGGTTGTCCTCACCATACCAGTGACCGTTTGACCAAAATGGTATATCTGAAACCTGCATTCTTTCAGACTTACCTTCCAAAACGCAGTGTTATATACGCAGTGTTATATAAGCAGTGTTAAAAGCGGCGTTAAACTAAGCTCACCCAGTACATCTGCTACCCCAACTGGATTTATGTTTTGAAGTAACAAGTTTAAACAGTGTGTCGTTAAATTTTACAGTGTGTCGACGATTAGAGGATGACGAGAGTAAACAAAGTCTGATCAGGACATTAACCTTGTTTTGGGTCACTTATGAGAAAGGATACTGGTCATAGATTGATATTTGTGGCTGACGTTCACGTGTATCATTTGTGCAACCACCAGTAACGACAAAAAGGAGCCGTGCTGACAGTTGTATGGTGTTGCTTAAGAGATTCCTTTCGCTGCAGTTTGAGATGACATTAGTATTATTTGTGCAACCACCAGTACCGACAAAAAGGAGCCCTGTTGACAACTGTATGGTATGAAATCCTGGCAGGGACATTGTTGCATTGTCGCATTGTCGCGTTGTCGCCCTCTCAAATACAAGCAAAATAAGGCAAAATTAACCAAAACGCGAAATTTCGCCCATTTGTCGCATTGTCGCGATGTCTCGTGTTGCGTTTTAAATAAAAAAAAATTTTTATTCCTCCAAAGGGCGACGCGCGACATAGCGATTTTTAAAGTTCAAAATATGTCGCGTTGTTGCATTGTCGCGTGTCGCGTTTTATTAGTTACGGCGGATTTAATAAACTATCACAAGCATGATTACTTTTCGATGTTTGGAGTGGAGCGGAGTGAGTGAGTGAGTGAGTGAGTGAGTGAGTGAGTGAGTGAGTGAGTGAGTGAGTGGAGCGGGGACCGGAGTGGAGTGGAGTGAAGTGGAGTGGAGTGGAGTGGAGTGGAGGGGAGCGGAGCGGAGCGGAGTGGAGTGGAGTGGAGTGGAGTGGAGTGGAGTGGAGTGGAGTGAGTGAGTGAGGGAGCGAGCGAGGGTTGATTTCTGGCACTCCAAGGGTACGCAACTCTGATTTCATCGGTTTTAATATCATAATGATAACAGTCCATTTGTATGGCGTTTTCCCAAGAAGAATATTACGTTCAAAGCCGACCTAAACTGTCTTTGAGGTGCTGGATGGTTAAGTGATACTACCATCTCATTCTACCTGGTATCCATCCACTGCTGGCTGAACAGAGGCAGATGTCGGACAAATTCATCAGCGTCGGACAGGACTGTACCAAGCAACTCTGTCAGGAGCTAAACTGTGGAACATAGTGACCCATTCGTGGATACACTTGATTGATGTTTCTGCTGATGTGGCCTGAATTTTAACAATATTTCAGTTTTTTCACAACCTGTCAGCTTGATATCGGTGAAATGTCCAAAGTGATGAGTGTGTATGGTGCTGGCATTAGAACCTATGATCATAGTTTTCTGGTGTGACTAAGAGACACAACTCTGCATAGCAAATTGCCCCGCCTTGAATGACAGGGCCACCGTGTGCCGTCATTACAATGAATAGTAGCGCTAATGATTTGTCTTGCTGCTAAAACACACTTGATTGGCCAAATACGTTTACAATATATACAATAATTTTCAAAGCATCAATGAAAGATTTGCATTAAGTTCCAGAAAAGCAGCCCCCATTATCATTACGCGTACTACTTCATTGTAAAAACCATTGGAGGTTACAAAAGACCACTGAAGTGTGAAATAGAGTATAACTTTTCCTGCGTATGCGTAGACTAATGGACTTTCTACGCATGCGCACCGGTAATCGAAAAGGGCGAATATGTCGCATTGTCGCGTGTCGCGTTTTAGTCAATTTTTAGGCTTCTTTTTACACATCATAATTTTTACGACATATTTTGACCTTGAAAATTGTCGCTATGTCGCGTGTCGCCGTTTGGAGGAATAGAGAAATATTATTCAAAACGCGACACGCGACATCGCGACGATGCGACAAATGGGCGAAATGTCGCGTTGTCGCGTGTCGCATTTTGGTTTATTTTGCCTCATTTTACTTGTTTTTGAGAGGGCGACAATGCGACAACGCGACAATGTCCCTTCTCGATTTCCATAGTATGGTGTTGCTTAAGAGATTCCTTTCGCTGCAGTTTGAGATGACATTAACGTGACTGCGGGGTCAATTTGCATTGTACATTTGACGTTGATTGTACCATCAACAATATCCTGTCTGTTGATCCTGACGAACACGACGATGACTGCGTCCAGGACAGCACTGATGGTCAGCAGGAGGTAGGTCCAGTTGGTGAGGTAGATGAACCACACAGCGCCACCTAGTGGTGACACCATGCTACTGACCAGCCAGGATGTATGAAACAGAGCCCAGAATATCCTCCAGGACAGGTAGAGACGGGGGTGGCCCCACTGAAATAACACACAATCATTGTAATCAATAAAACAGTGACCCGCGGCCTCCAATATTTCACAGATTTCGTGAAGGCTAGACCAAATTATAAGCATAGTCAAGTTGCTGTAACTTAGCACGGGGGCACAGCGAGTTTACTTGATCAGAATTGCTACCGAGATGGGGTGGGAAGGTCATTACCATTATATATTGCTCCGACAGATACAGCAGGAACAGTTCTTCATTGCAATATCTCTTACAATCACCAAAAGCAACGACGTCGACGGAGAGCTTTTCGACAATGGAAAGTTCGTTGTTCGCTATTCTTGACATATACTTGACAGTAAATAATATAATATGGACCCAGCAATCCAGTGATTGATATTATGACCCACGGTCCACGGCCTGGGGACACGCAGTTAACAGGTTACGAAAGAGTGACAACATTATCCATTAAGTCCCCTTGTACAGGTCTTAATTGGTACCTCTCCCGACCAACAGAGGTCACTGGGTACCTCTCCTGACCAACAGAGGACACTGGTACCTCTCCTGACCTCCAATCCCGGCGTCGTTCACAGGTCAAAGAGTACATTTAATAGGGTATCAGTAGCGAGAAGTCAGCTTCATAGTCATTGTTATCTACCAACAAGATTTCCGGCTATTAGCTATGTTCTGTCAATTGGGCATACTGGGTTTCTAGTCTATTACAGTTGCCCCATCGACGGCCCCAGCAGATAATGGCTACATTAACCACCAACGACAAGAATGTGACTGCTCTGTTCATTATCAGTTTCATTGAAAGTTCTTAATTTCGACGACCACTTTTCCAGTTAATAAAAGCTACAAAACCCTTTTCACGTTCATTAGAAACTGCGGCTATAATTATCATGTGCATCTGTGTGTTAACCACTATCAAAAGGTGTTCCCGAAAAGGTGAGAGTATCCTGCCCAACCGGTTCCAACTGTCATAAACAAATGCAAAGTCTGGTCAACTGTTCAACGGAAAAATCCCGGAAGGTATAGTTCAAGACAATAACGGGGAATTATTTCACACATCATTTTTGTCAGTTATGCTTCGACTTTGGAAATTACACGACATGTCAACCATATATGACATTTTAAGCGTTACAATACAAGCTATTTTAATCACAATTCCTAACTTGTTTCACTGCATATAACTGATAAACAAAAGGGTAATAAAACAATCTATTTCGAATACTTACCTGAGATGAAACGAACAGGTGAGGTTCACTGTGAGCTAATCCAAAATTACACATCCGGAATTCACCTTCGATGATCATTGTTAAATTTCTGTTATTCAAAGTTGAAACTACAGAAACAACGAATAGTTATTTGAATGAAACTTTTTGTGTAATCCCTGCTAGTGATTTCTTTACACAGACCTTAAAAGATTCCTCAAAGGCAGAGAAACATTCTTTCTACAGCGTGAATAGATATTTGAAAGGCCGAAAACCCCTCTTGGCACTGTAATCCACAATAAAGCAAATATTACACATCCGTACACACATTTCTACTACGAGGTCGTGAATTCATTCAGCAGGAGTGGATGTTACATCGACGTAGCTTCCATCTAACTGACGGGGGTGCTTGCAGCCGGCGATATACCCCCGGGATCGCGTGCAGGCAGAGGGCGCTGCGCGGAAGCCAGGAGTGTGAAGGAGTCGTGCTTACGGCGGCGGCTACAAAAGCTGGAATGAGGTAACCAGAGGATGACGCTATGCGGTTAGGGGTATCAGAGTGAGCGTTGATGAGAATTGGGATCTATATGCCTTGTAGTTTAGTTTCTCTGTTCGTGGCAATGTATGAGCTGTTGTAATAGACTAACATGGTTGAACAGGTATGGCCAGCATCAGGAGAGATCAAAGACTGGTTGCTTCTAGTTGCGCATGCATTGCATTCATTTTCTCAGATGTTTTGCTGAATTGGTCTCTATTTTTTTCATTTCATATCACCGTTCTCAATGACGATGACAGGTAGGGTAAATTGTCCCCTAGCAAGTTTACAGTATCATCCTGCTACGGCGTTTACAGTAACATGTTTCACTCTATAACCATCCTTTCATAAATGTGAAAACACGTGAGAAATTTTAAAGTTATGCACCTATTAAGTGCGAAAGAATTGGCTTCTTCTGAGAGAGGTACTGCTGTACGAGTGTTGGTCCAATAACGATTATGAGTTGTGCTGTAACCTTTGTAAACGCTAGTCGGGCTTGACCAGAAAATCAAGTCTCTGAAAATCCAGTTGTTGAATATAGTGATACTTACATTTTATCAGATAATATATCTTAATGGGTTCACGGTTCATGGGTTCTTTGTGTTTCACTCGCAAGTCAGAACCATTTCATCTATCTAGCCATAAATACTCACACCAGTGAGTAAGAAACATTTGACTTTATGGATAGTAATTTTAGGTTCATTTGAGATTATTACACTGTTATGAAGCTATAGTGCCTATCCAAAATTTACTCAAATTGGCTGTTGACATTATTACTAACACCAGAGGTCGCTGGGCACTACATGCAATCAGACAGTCATCCGATTCACCAGCGGTCCGACAATCAGGAGGTATTCCTACACCATGAACGGTACACATTCCTATTAGAAGGGACATGGTGGCACAGAGCCTCCCAGTATACGGTGCAGCCATACTGATCATGGGTTGTAATCTCAGATAAGAGGAGCCTATAGACACACATGTATCCATACGGAGCCTGAATCGCGATATTGTTTGTTGTTTCTCGTGGGAGATTTTGCCGTCAGTCCATACCTCTGTCAAACACAAATAATCCTAAACGTTGTGACACCTTTGTCAGATTCAGTGCAACCTTGGACCTCTATACAGAAGTTGATCTGTGAAAGGTGCTGTCAGTACATACACGTTAAAGTTGCATACGAGGTAGGTGCACTGACCTAAATCTTCGAAACCTACAATAATGTAACTTGTTGAACATATACATTAATTTCGAACTTAGCCAGTGATAAATGACCAAATGAAACTAAAACCTGTGAACATCACCTGGAATATGTACAACTTCTTCTTATTCTGTTAAAAACTGGTTTTGTTTACAGTCTAATTAACCTCATGGCTCATCAGCATGTACAACCCAAACCAGGGCTTGATCTCATTTTGACATAGAATTTCAATGACGTTGAAACTACGTCAAACGAGTTTGGAAAAGCACCATATTGATTCTAACGGGGAGTTCCGACGTCATTTGAATAACCTTGAAGCCATAACGACAAACACATAAGTGAAACTTTTTTAAACACAAAACTGAAATGAATTCTTTTGCAAAAAATTTATATAAAACAATTAACTGAAGCGCTTTTTCCACCAACAAGCCAACATGGATTGATATGAATGAACGTGTAAAAGGACAGAACACCATGAAGAATTGATGACGTGTATTACCACAGATCGGTGTGAAATGGATTTGATCATGTATCGAATCGAACCCGGGTCTTCGGCGTGATCAGTGAACGCGTTTACCAGTAGCCTACCCCACCGCCCAACCGAGTTAGCGAAGTTTTGAGTCAGGTAGCTGTTTTATAACGGAGGATTTGTGTCCTCCAAAATATCATCAATGGTCTTTTATTGGGGATTTCAATAATGTTGACTCTCATCAAAGGACGCTGTGAACATGGTTATGTGTGTCCTGTTTCTTGTAGCGGTGGGGTAGCCTAGTGGTCAAAGCGTTCGTTTACATCGTACTTTTCAATATATCAGCTACATGTGTATTACGACGGACTCTATATAATCGGGCCTTGACAAAACGAACTAGACACTACGAACAACGTCCGCCTCTGTTGGGAAGACTGTGCCATGCAATCCACCAAGTCAATGAGCCTGACCAACTGATCCCCTTACGATAAGCTAGTTTGCTGAGTACTAATTCTAACCTGATTTCGACACGAGAATGAGAACAAATCCAGATAGAAGCATGCCTCGCTGTCGTTTTGCAGAACGTTTGTTTAAAGTTTTGCTGTATCTATGTAACCCCGCATCATTCACAAACTATTCACATCTACCAACGTCTTTAATCGCAGAATATTTGTATATTTTAGATATACTGCAAACATTATGTACAATCACTTGCATCTGAACGGGTGGCATAAATCCTACTGGTAACAGTGCAATAACAGAAGCATAATCTAGTTATTTTATACGGTTTATACATATTAGTTATTTAGGTATAAATGTGTCTTGTCACGATATGGCTACAAATTTGCCGATGTGACGTACAATTGTAAGTTACTCGCTTGGGGTATACGTAGACATATTTGTCGATACTATACAAATATAATGCATATACTATCCTCCATATAAATGCCTTCTTGCAATTTACCGCCGTGCGTAATCTCACATCGTATAGCCTGTGGAGAAAGCCGACGCTTGTCAGCAGAACTCAACGTCGTAGTTTCTTCTCCTGTGACGTGTTGGCTGCTATAGAGGAGAAGCATCAACACGTTACTATCTTTCAACAATAACTGTTAAACAATCCCACCAAGGAGGCTGTGATCTGTTTACTCAACCTGCGTGATACGTTATGCAATAACAGCCTATTTACTTTTCACACTCTCTGGTTTTGATTATCTTGTTTCTCCAAGTCAATAATCTCCTTTGCATGCATATTACAGTTTACGTCCAAACCTGCTGATAATGTGGTTCCGCTCCCGAAAACAAATGGATGCTGTTCCAAAGGAGATATGAACTGACGAATGCACTCAAAGGGCTACTCAGCACACATAAACATTCTCCGAAATATGTCTGACAAGAATGTGCGATATACTCTCCTTTTCTTTCTCGTCTGTTCATACAAAGTAGTTTTAGTTTGGCATGTTCATATGACAGAATATGTTTTTGGTTTCAAAAACGGTACTCATGTGGGGAATCGAACGTTTCAGGCGCTAGGTTAACCCAGGGACTCCACTATAATGTTTCGAGTTATACGAGGTTAGAAAAGGATGTCAAAACGATTGATTCAATGACCAGGCTTTATTTCGAGACATCCATACGATCTACACATCAGTTCTGTCCAAATGATTGGTAAATGTCCGCAAAAAACAGTACAGGTGCATCTCGACTGACTTGCCTTTGTGACGAGTGCCAGATTACGCTCACCATTTCGTGAACATCTTGTGCTACCACACGAATCCTACAAATATTTATCATACAGTCGTGTATTGAAGCTTGATTTTGGAAGATATTGGTTTTGATTGTAAAATGGTTTTCTCACTCTGATTTGTCATATTTCACATACAAACACAGGAACTATTTCTGTCTGATAGAATTTAGCAGTTATGTAACATTTCACGACCACATTGTGTGGACTAACAAATCAGCGGAAAGTGCTGTCTCATTTGCATTCTCCTACCAGATGCTGTAATGGTGATGTTAAAGGTTACGAGTAAGTGAGTGATTGATTGAATGAATGAATGAATGAATAAATAAATAGCATGGAATTAACGACAAATTCTATTTTTAATTTTTTGCGTTATATTAGTTAAAATAAGACGTTAAAACAACAATACAGCCTTCAATTTGCTGTCTACATATAATGGAACTGTTGACCTTTCTAGGTGATAACATGAACGAGAAACAGTGACATAAATGAATTCTGCTAATGTTTGGTTGACAAAGAGCTTCACAGCTGCTATGTAGATTTTGATCTTGTATATTTCTTTTTCACTTAAAATAATGATGCAAATAGCTGCAATGTTACACGCTCTTCAGTTTCACATCGTGCGTGTGTTCCTCAAACAAACAGTGATGATTTTATTGTACTTGAGCAATGATGTTATGTTTGAATCAGTAAACTCCAAAGCAGCATGTCAAGTTTATTTATTTCTGAAGTATATATAATTATATACCTGTAATAAATATGTGTTCCTGAGAGTAATGCCTCTAGTATTCACCTTGTGTGCCCCAACATGTTTGTCATTCTTTACACGTTTTGGCCCAGTTGCCATAAGTTGTTTGTTTGAACCTTTCTATTCGATGACCCTCTTCAATGAAACTTTGTACATTGATGTATGACACAATATCAATCTTTAGTGAAACTTTATAGGTTGAATGACAGTATATAATTTGCTGTACAACACAAAAAGTGGAATAATATATACAAACAAAAGTCTCGTAAAAAGGCAAACCGATGTAAAACACCTGAGGTGGATATGAAATGGATTGTGCAAGATGGCACGATGTGTGTCTGTGGCAGAGGAACTGTGGGTAGGAGTGTGGTTCAGTCCTACCTACACAGTTTTGCGCTCTGTGTACCTCTGAGTTCAACAACATAGGTACGATCCCTTGACACACTTACATGATAGAATGCCATCCGTATATATACTATTTGTGTTCTTGGGGTCGGCCATCCCTCCATAAACTGCGAGTAATGGGAGTGTTACACACATGCATCATGTGTTCAGTCTCACGGGGACTTTCAGATGAGTGCATGTGGTATGATGTTGGTTGATATAGTTGGTCGCCATATGATATGACGGATCAGGGCATTACAGAACAACGCCCCCATATTCAGGGTGTTTATCGGGCTTGTACATGTGTATATCAGTGGTTTAAAAGTCACACAGAGATAAAATATACACACACGTTTTGGTTGATTTTGACAAATGTTAATTTAACGTTTTTCGATGCTTTTGTTGG